GAAGACAGGCCCAGAATGTTTATGGACTTACAGGTCAAAACCAGCACCTTGACCTGTGCTCAGAAAGCTACTGGGAGCCAGTTCAGACTCCAAAACACTGGAGGTGTGTGGTCCTGTTGACCCACCCGCATCAGAAGGTGGGCCATTGCTTTGTGCACGGCTGCAGCTCCAGACAGTCATCACAGACAGCCCCACATAGGGATCATTGCAATAGTCTAGCCTTAGGGTTATGAAGACATGGATTATGGTGACTGCATCAATGACAAACAATCCCTTGCCTAGATTCAGTTTCATTTGGTTCACCCACACCCAAACCCCAACTGCAGTCAAGTGCTCTACTCTATCCCTTCAAAGACAAAAATGAGATTGTTACCAATAGAAAAAAAGGTAGGTAGACTTTTATAGAACTAACTGAAAGGCCAACTATTTAAAAATAATAATAATCTGAGATGACCAAAATAGATGAGTTTAGGGAGGGGCTGAATATTACTCTGAATAGATCCCAAAGATAAACATTTCTGCTTTAATGGAGAGATCTTTTGCTTTGCATCAAAATTGCTAAGCAGCTGGCAAACGGGGTCTTTTTCTACAGAATTCAGATGGCCAAATTCAATTCTGTTCATGCAGAGATTATTGGTTGGAATGATTAATAGAACCACAAAATAAAAAGAGAACATTGTTGTTTTGCTGGACCAGAAATTCATCCGCTACAGAACCTAAACTTATTTTCTTCTATTCCCACAAGCAGAACATCTGACACATCACTTTAACACTGACAACCAACACCTATTTAGTAAGGCCCCCAAATTTTACATATTTGACTCAAAACAAAAACCTCCCATTCATGATTACTAGAGCTATGTATGCTTAAGAGACCAGCTACGTTATTTTAGACTCTTGGAAAAGAAGGACCTACCACATTAATCTATGAATTTATGGACTGGCTAAGGGTAAAAAAGCAGACTTGTCCCTTTTGGTTCTGATGTTTGTGAGGAAGAACAGCCAAGGAATCTGCAAATGTTCAGAAACATATGACCATTACCATCTGAGAAATTCCTCTCAACTGTTACCAGTGAACAGGACAACAATTTGGCCAACCCTTGGAACTACCACCCAGAGATGTGTGCGCTGCTTTGAAAAAAAAGGAAAAAGGGGGAAAAGGCACTGATGGCAAGGACTACAAAGTTTGGAAGGATCTTTCAAAACTCATGAGTGTTTCTATTAATAAAAATGGAAGACTTGGCTCCTGGGACACAATAGATATCATTGGCATTCAGACTTTCCTTCCATTTGTTCTGGGAGATGCAGCTTGCCATCCCTGTCCCTGGCTCTCAAAGTCTTACTTGAAACATGGCTAGCAGACAGGAGCTATTCAGCTCCTTCCTGAACAGCTGCAGAACAACAGAAAGTGCATTTAGGAAACTGAGTGGGAGACAGCATGGAGATGCAGCACTGTCTAATGAAAAGGTCAAAAGCTTATGAGCAGCAAAGCCTGCCTAACATTGGATTTACTTTTTCTTGTTTGAACAAGAGAGTTGATAGAGCAAGGGCAAGAACCTCACCAATGGTTTGAAAGCCCAGTTGCAGAGATTTTCAGAACGTGATGAACAGTGAGGCTGGGCCAGTTAGACAAGTTTAATAATGCCAGACATCACCCTAAGAAATCCTGGACCATCATGGCTACATCACTCTAACACTATCATGAGCAGCCTGAGAAGACTTCCTATCCAAAATGGCAGCTACAAGGGGAACACAATTCAGGACGGTTTTGTATTTACCTTGAGGCCAAAGGCTGAAAATGTTGAGATGACCTATGTATACAAACTCCTATGTAACTGGAGTTTTTACATTCTGTGTGCAACTTCTTTCTTTAAGGATGGATTTTTTTTGCCTATTTTCCTTTTTCATTAAGCCATATTTCATAAGATTTACATTAAATAAATATATTACTTATGAAAAGGGAAATGCACTGTTTTTATGTATAGGAAGAGAAGCTTTCAGAAAAGAGGAATGTATTTTATATTCAAAACGTTGATTAGATTTTATGGAAAAAAAATCAAACCACCTCTTAAATAAGCAACTGTTAATTGAGCAAACTGCAAACAAAACCATAATGTAAACAGAACTCTGAAAACAATGTAGGTATGAATCAAACTCTGGAACAAATAATCTGTCGGTGTAAACTTCAAAGAGTTCAAGGGTTACCTGCACCTGTGTAAGAGCCACAACGGTCAAAAGTTAAGGGGCACAAATATATATATATATATATCTGTGTAGATGACCCTCTATAATTGATTTCATTTTATATTCAGTGTTTTCTGCCAGGTAAATAAGTATGCTACCAAAATGCAGCCTTTGCTTTAAAATTCTGGTTGCTCAGGAGACTTGTATAACGCTTACAGAGTAAAGGGGCAGAGCTATTTAAACAGTTACCTTTCCAAATATAAGTGCACTTTATAGTCAGAGATGAAATGCTGCCTGCTGTCAGTTGGCATGCAAATCTATAAACATGATGGAACAAAATTATTCTTTAACATTTGCCTTATTGAAAACAGATTATAAATTTGCCCATTAATGCACCAGAAGAGTCACTGTGAATATCAAAGTAATAACATCTATAAAAGTAGATGTCACAGTTTGTATCTGCCAATTATTCCTATATCCATATGTAATTTAAAGGTGACTGTATAGTTGACATTCCATTTACTGTTTGTTTTCCATATATTAAACTGTTCATAAAAGAGAACTTTTCTGTGAAAACTCCTCCATTAAGCCAGACATCGGAGACTGAGTATACAAAATTTCAGCCAAAGAGGTATGTTGAAAATTATGAGGATTACTTTGCTTCTCAGATACCCTAGTACCACTCCATTTTGGATGCAGCGAATTCAGTTCAATTGTCATTATTATATTGATGCTTGCCTTTTCTCGTTCCACGTTAAATATTAAATATGTTGTAGTATGTTCTTTAAAAAAAATAAACAGTATTTTTGACCTAAATATGTTGTACTAAGTTCTTTGAAAATAAACAAACACTGCAATTATAAAAATAACCCGGGCAAAGGATGGGTACTTCAGCTAGTTATTACATACACTTTTCATGATTTTCATTACCCACTTTACTAGATAAAATTGTTAGATTAAATGAAAATTAAAATGAGAATCTGAGACCATCTGTCGAGCATATAGATGTGGAATGAGCACTGAACATTTTTGTCAAAGAAAAAAAGAGTATTAAGATTGATCCTCAACTACATCACTAGGTTTACCTTAAAAGCTTGACTTAAGTATTCACTTGACCCCTATCACCTCTGAACCCTTCATGAACTTATGTTACCTTATCTTTCTACACTATGAGGCCAAAAGTACTATTATGTTAGTTTCGAATGAGGAACCAAAAGGTATGTATATACTGCATTTGGAGGAAGCCTTAAAGTGGTGCCCAGAAATAAGCCCCACCCATTCATCTCTAGTCTGGGCATGCACAAGCCACAAATCAGGGCCCCTGACTAGTGGTAGGATTGGGATGCAGATAAAATTTGTCAGATCCCAATCATTCATCTGCCAGGGCAGGCAGCTTGCTGCCCATGTCTACCTGAGCAGGGGAGCTTGGGATCATGGAGCTCCCTGTCACCCAAATTTATGAGTGCTGGTAAAAGTCCACAAGCAGAGGCAGCTATAGATTGCAGAGCACATGGAGATACCTTATCCCCAGCTGCCTGTGCTGCCAACTTGTCACAGGTGTGAAAGCAGACAGAGATTGGGAAGGTCTCCAGCTGCCCATGCCACGGACCTGGCATTAGGCTATACAGCATGGCTTACAAAGTGTCCCTACACAGGGTGAGCCTGCGACATTTAAAGCCACATCATGAAGACCAATGCTGGGCTGGATGCCACATGTTCAAGTTAAAGCATGATGCATGCCAGTCACAAAGATTTTCTCCTTTAAATGTAAAATATCCTTGTGGCTGGTTCACCATTTTATCACACTACAAAATTGGCAGAACATGTGACACACTGTAATTTATGGCACAGTTAATACATTAATTATACCATAAATGAGATATCTGCCAGGGCTCTAGTTAAGATTGCTTCCAGAGAGACCTGAGTGCAACAGTGGGTTGCATGTTTGAGCTGCTCCATGCAGTAAATTACTGACTAATTTATGGGCTTGGGCACGTCTGCAGCAAACAGGTTATTTTTCAGCAGCATTCCTAGCTTCGCTCCAGAGGCAGTATCAGCTTATCCTGAGAAACAAAACATTTACACCAGCATAAATATAAGCCTTCGCACCACTGTAAGCAAGACGACATGACATATGGCCTTACACCAGAGTAATTTACTTAAATGCAATATATAAAACCACCCCAGGAGAAAACAAGTTAAAACACTGGAGACCTAATCTGGAATACAGATGACAGTTCTGATCATCTGTTTTCGAAGAATGAAGAACACAAACTGGAATAGGTACATCAGAAAGGGCTAAGTGAATAACCAAAGATAACATATCAAAGGGAACCAACAGGTCAGGTCCTACTTTGTCTTGCTGAAGATCTGACAAGCAGAATTCCCCAAGGTCTTGGAGAAGCACACGAAGATGGAGTCAAATGCATGTACAAGAGAAGAATTGTTCATTTTTAGAAGCGTTCCTTCCTCCAGCGCCAGGGCTGGAGACAGGCATGGGCAAACAGGGTAGCTGCCTGGGCCCGGACAGAAAGAAGGCCTGAAAATGGTAATTTTTATTGTTAATACCATTAGCATCTCTGGCGAAGCAGGGCCCAATACTAAAAGTTCACCTGGGGCTGCCAGGAGTCTACGCATGATGCTGTCTAGTGCCTGGGGAAAAGATTTAAAGCAATATTCAGAGTATAAAAGATCAGTATTTTTCAAGAGATGTTTCAAATTTACAATTAAATTTATCATTTGTATTACTTATCTTTTTAAGGCAGTTTCAACTTCTAAAAGAAAAACAGTCATTTTGGCACTCATTTCTTACTCACGCAAAAACTGGTCTGACAGCATTGTTCATATTCCCATAGGTTGCTCGGCCTAGTAGTTCTCTGAAACAGTTCTCAGCCAATACAGCAGGGTTTTCTTCCTTCTCACCTCCTGTAGGTGATGAAGGTGGACCAATACGACTGGAATGAAAGAAGGTCAAAGTTAGCTCACTTGTAAATATTCCTGGGGTAAATACTCCTGACTAGTTACATCTGTGACTCATCTCTGTAGTTTAAGTGCCTGACATAAAGCCATCCCTCAATGACTTCTGCAAGGTGATGTCAACATGAATCAAGAGAAAAAAAAAATCTGTAGTTTTGTAGGTAAATAATATTATCTATACTAGCAAACAGCATGGAACGGGGATTGTAGATTCTGACCCATTCGGCACAAAGCATACTGTAAGTATTCTATTAATGGAGTCAACACACATTTATTATTTTGGGGAACAAAAAATATCTGTCAATATTGACATGATATCTACTGGACACATCTAGTATTATAAGACTGGAATTAAGTTGCCTCATAAGAACGATAGTCTTTATTCTATGCAGCTTTCAGTGTAAAATAATTTAGCATGATTAAACCCATTAATAACTTTATATTAGTTCACTAGGTTATATTCATCAACGCTGCCAATATTTCAGTTATCTTAAGACTTTCATGTTTGAGATGAACTGCTCCTCTGCCACAGAATACTGATAAAAAGTTGTATTAAGAGTTCGGTGGTAATAAATTGAGCTGTTATGTAAAGTCACAATGTCTCCTCTGATCTAACTGCAGTTTTGCTCCTGCTCTAAATGGAAGCATCTGCTCTAGAACATAAGAACTGCCATTTACTGGGTCAGACCATAGGTCCATCTTGCCCGGTATCCTGTGTCACACCTTGGCAGAGTGGATGCTGAAAGGGAGAGTGAACCAGACTGACCAGGGTCCTCCCGTTACTGTTCTTCTCTCACTTGTAGCCTCCAACATTTAAGGTATAACAAGTTCTAATTCTAAGAATGCATCCCTAACTCCCATGGCTCCCAATAGCTACTGATGCTCCTCTTCCCTAAGAATCTGTTTGATCCCTTTTTGCCTCTGCCTAAACCTGAAGCTTCCACAACACCTGGTGGCAATGAGTTTCAACATATACTGTGCGAAGAAACTTCCGTTTGTTAGTTTGAAGCATACTACCTTCAAGTTTCAAGGAACGTCACTGACAGAAACACACCTCACTGATCTGTGGCTCTCTAGCAGAAGCTAGAACTATCAAGGCACTGAACGTCTGGACTCAGTCTGGCCTTTTGACTGTCTTGATGGTTTAAAGGGGGCATGGTAGGTCTAGGGCAGCCTCCACTCATCCATAATCTTGCCTAGGTGTACAAGCTGAAGGTGTTGGTGTGATGGTCTCATGGGCCTCTTAAACGCTGATCCTCTGGATCATGGTGTATGTGTGCCAAGATGCCTCTCCTCCCCATCAAGTGTCTCTCTTCTACACTAAATAGACAAACTATAGTTTCATCCTTGTTGCTCATCTCTAGACCTTTGATGTGTAGGGACCAAAACTGGGCATAACTTTCAAGGTGTGGGTGCACTGTGGATTTAAAAAGGGGCATGATGATACTTTGTTTTGTTTATAATTCTCTTTTTAGTAATCTCAGTGTTTGCGCCTTTTTGACGGCTGCTGAGCCTGAGCTTTTTTTAGCGCTGTTAATCTGTTGCAACTCACTCCAGAATGTCGTGTATTATACCTCCAATTCACATGCAGCTTTTACTAGTAAAGACAATCGCATACAAAGTTCCCTCAACAAAAACGTATACCACAGAGAGAGGAATTAGTCAATTAAGAAGGGACCCTAATGATATCAAAAGAAACTGGGCTACATCTCTTTTACCAAAAGCCAAAACTGTAACAAAGAAAGTAATTAGACTTCTATAAAATAGACACACCTGATATTTACTGGGAAGAATAGGATACATTTTACACTGAATAAAAGAACAAGATCAATGCAAACACTTACAAAACTTTATTAAAAACAAAGTGACTAATGATCTCCTTCACCTGCCCACAGTTCACTCCTCATTAGGTAGGCGAGTGTGAAATGCAATTTCAGTACTTTTGCAGTAGCAGATGGCTTGCAAATTTAAAATATATACATATATCTATCTATCTATCGGATAGAACTAATTGGAACACTGTCACCCACACAGCCACATCACAACTCGATTCTGCAGAACTTCAAATTTACCCTCCACCTGATTGTTCACCAGCATTACGATATTAATTGCAGAGGACAACACAATATTTAAGTTTCTGTATTGGTTTACCCACATCTAATACTACCGACCAAGATATTACAGTGCTTTGCCAATTTTTGTCTTTGCTGAATGTTATTCTTTACCTATATTAGACTGCAGGCTACCCGAATCTCACATTTGTCTATCACTGAATAATATTTTTAATAGTAGGACCTTGAAACTGTACTCTTAAATTCATATATTTGTTTACTCTTAAGAGCAAAGATAAATGAATATAGACTTTGATGTGCACTTTGCTGTATTTGCAAAAATGTGCTTGTTCAAAGACTGCTTTTTCCACCTCCAAAAAGGTGGACAGGCTATACAAGCAAACTGATCTTTAAAACACAGATAACAGAAACCAATAAAAATAACTATAAAAAAATGTGCAGAAGTACAGTAGGGCACTTTATCCCTTAGTATAGACATAATGATGAAATTATTTTAACCTAAATCCTGCTGTTGACTAAAGAATGATTAATTTAATTTAATAGGGATGGAACATAGGCACGCACAAAGTGGAAAGAAAAACCAGAAAAAACTTAACACTAACTACTAATGAAGCCTTTAATTAAAAAGCAAATCCATTTTTATTCTTCTGGTCCATTGATTTCAGTACAAAAACTAATTGTACAATATTTTGTTTCATACAGTAATTTAAAGTTTTCAAATAATTATTTTTCTGAATTCATGCAGTGAGGGCATTTTAGTATTTTCAGGATGTTATCTGAGAAAGTAGCAATGACCATGACATTTGAAATATCCAGACTTTATCATCTGAAATATTCACTTTTCTCCAAGACTTTATATTCATATTTGAAAGCAATATGAAAAAATGTTCTTTCCTTCAGAATACCAAATTCATTTTTGTCAAGCCATTTTAGCTTGCCCAAACCAAAACCAATTTAGTCTTCACCTCTACAGTTAGACCTTGCATAGGGCTAGATTAAGTACACAGAGCTTCCCAAGGGTCTAGAAATTTGTCAGGGGAGAGCAGTAGTAATTAATGCTGCCATCACTCCCCCAACCTCAATGCCAAACTTCCAAGCCCTGTAGGCCAAATGACCTGTCCTTGAGTGCTGGTGTACAGAGAGCTAAGACCAGTCCAATCTTGTATGTGCAGATTGCTGGGGCCAGGGCCCAATTTGGCACAGAGTTAGGGCTGCAACCAAGATACGGGGGTGGGGTGGGGTGGGAATCATGGCCTGATCCAATGCACAATGGATTGAGCCCATGGACTAGATTTGGCCCACAGACCAGATCCAGCACTCATTGGATCAGGCCCATGGGCTGGATCCAGCATATGGACACACCCCACTCATCTAGCCCACAAGGCCAAAAGGTCAGGCATCATTTTCTTATGCAGGGGTGTCAAAGACGCAGCTTGTGGAGCCATGTCATTTGTCCCCCAGTGCTGCCCGTGTGTCTGTGTGATCCACAGGCAGCATGTGGGCTGTGCTGGATGGCCCTACATGGCAAGTGCTTTAGGAAAGCCACGTGTGGCCCAGTGGCTCTGCAGCAGCTGGAGCAGGACTGGAATGAGGGGAGCCTGTTTGTGGGTCCAGTCCAGGCCACAGACCAGTCCTGTACCATTCATCTGGTCCATGGGGCTGGATGAGTTTGACATCCCTGTTCTAAAGCATCTGAAAACTATTTTGTTAGCATGTGCTTAAGATCTTAACAGACATTAACGATTTTTTCAAATTAATATTCTTTCATTATAAAATTGCATTTAGACTGTAACAGACTGTATCAAGTAGTATTATGCTATTGCTGCTAAAGAATAGTTTAAGTTTTATATTCTTGTAGCACATACACCACCAAAGAGAAGTACCTTTTTTGAAACGGTGTTACAGGCCCAAAGCCCTATTTTAAGCTACTGCATAGGTTAATAAAACTAAAACCATAAACACATGCCTCACTGTAATGCAAGAACATGTATTAGTTTCTTTTAACAATACCTGTGTTAACTTTGTTTACAAAGACCATCCATTAAAACTGCTAGGTTATATTTAGTATTAATTTCCTTGTAGCTGGAAAATATAGCTTATGAATAACTCAAAGTCAAATTTGAAATGTCATTAGTCAAATGCCCATGCAATTCACAGCACTTCAGCTTTCTAACAGCCACAGAAGCTTTTAATGTTTTGAGGATGGTATAATCTAAAATTACAAAGTCAAAACCAGATGCCTTCAGTTATGTCAGTATATTTGAAGCTTCAATACTAAATAGATGGGTGACCAGCCTGCTGGACTTTTAAAGGAGAAAAGAGGCTTCAAGAACACTTACGGCACAGGCCAGAAAGATAAAAGAAAAAACATTTACCTGAACAGTCACTTGAATCTTTGAGATCTACTGTCCCTGTATGCATTGCACCATAAACTTATGCTCCATGCACTTCAGGCTAGAGGATTTTTGCCAGAAATGTTTGCTTGGTCAGCACATGTGCCTTAACTACATCGTGTACTGTACAAAGGTAAAGGGCAGTGAGGAAGCAGCCATCACCCCACTTCTTTCTCTGCAACATATTTGAGGAGAAGACACTAACCTAAAGAAGTGGTAGTGGAATACACATATGGAGAACATGTTATGAAGAACTCCAGTTACTGCACAGGTACGTAACTATTTTTTTTTTTTTTTGAGTGGTGTATTTATTTCACGGTGGGAAATTGCCAAGCAGCGTACTAAAAGGTGGCGTGTGGATCCCATTTCAGTACATGCAGGAGGACTACGTAACAAAACATCTCTGAGCTAGCAGAAGAATAACAGATACAGGCCTCTGACAGGCATATTTTTGTAGTGCTAGAAAGTACACTCAGACACACAACTGGGCACTTGATCACCCTGGATGGCAGC